GTTCACGATTCCAGCATGTAAAAAGCAGAGGATAAGCTTGCCTACAGATACAGTACAGAGGGAATAAACCCTACCCAGTCTGAAACGCGAGGGTATATGCTCACCCACCTAGTAAATGTACAAGCAGAGCATCTTTGTTGGGCCAGCCTACTTTGTGCTTTCTGTACAGTCTGCACAACCAGAGACTCGGACACACGCTGCAGGTTTGAACAGACCCTCGCCTACACTGTTAGGAACACGGGGGTTTTAAGCACCAAGTGTCACCTTAGAGACACTCAAAGGAGCATACAAAAGTCCATCCTGCATTTTATTAATTCTTAGCGAACCATACATGCGTTCATGTGGTAGGCAAGTTCCAGGTCACACCAGGGGAGATGAAACCACCATAAACTGAATGAAATGTTTGAAAACGCAGCTCCTCTGTGCTCTCTCGCCTCTTCAGGGTTGAAGCAGACAAGCTGCCAGAGGAAGTAAATCTACTTCACAGACGAGGGAACGGAAGGAAAATAATCTTTAAAGTGCAAACACTGAACTTTAAAAGTTATGAATGCTAAACTAACACTGCTGTTGTAGTAACTATGATCACTACTGATTTTAAACAGCTAAGTTATAAATTCCATTTCCTCTCTTCTGACACATGGTATTGCTTATCATTAGCATAAGATACTTATTTTGATTTCTAAGCTTTTTGAAAAGCAGAGGGCATTTATTTTCTCTGGAGAAAGACAATGCTTCTTATCCAAGAGCAGGAAAATTGCATTTGGAGTCTTCCCGAATACCAGCTAAACAAGTAACATCAGCACAGCCCCAAAAAAACCCATAAAAACAAACCAACCAACCAAAAAAAAATTATCACACAGTGCATGGGTAGCTGCCAAAAAACACGGCTATGTTCAGACACTAAAACTTCCATTTATTTGCCTGCAGCCGCACTGCACAATGAAGGGAGTGTTAACCCTCCTCCCCAAGACAAAACATGACCTCTCCCCAAAGCACGGGGTGATTGATTCACTGCTGGTGTTTTGGTTTTTTTTCTTCCAGTGTAACTGTTACTTACCTTTTGTCCCCAATGCTATTTCTCTAAAATGCTTTGATTGCCAAATATTGATTTTTTTTCTATTCCTTTTCATCGTGCTCTACCAGCACAGACAGACACATGTGGCAAAGAGAATAAGGAAGCACAATTTAATGTTTTTCAGGTTCAGATTTCAAATTTACCCAGCATGGTCCCTAATTTATTTTCTGACATCCTCACACTGCCTGGAGTTCTAACAATTTAAGACGAGATTTTATGCAAGATATACTTTCAATGAAATGAGGGGTGGGGATGGGAAAATCCTCAATGTCTATGAAACTAAGTTTTTTGCATCGAATTTTGAGACATAAAGCTAAAACTAACTTCTGTAGTCTTAAAATTTCTAGCATTTGACTGCTTCTGTTGTCTCAAACAAAGGTGCTATCAAGCAGCATCACTGTAGGAGCTTAGAACTGGAAAGATTCCAGAATTTAAAATGTGAAGCACATGGTTTCCTCAGCAACCTGGAACATGTATTTTGGTGCCTACTGGGTATCAGTAGTGATGCCAATTGTCATGTTAATTTTTCAGAACTTTGTTGTTCATAATCTTCTTCTGTGTCTTTTATTTGATCTCTAATTGGTCAGTAAATTTTCATTAATTTCTTCATCTGGATTTTAGAACAACAAGAAAGAATAATTTCTATTTCACCACCTTTAATCAACAAAGCCACAATATTAATAGTTCATAAACCAAACTATGCAGTGGCCTGCATCAATGAATCCAAACAGAGACCAATAGTAATGGGTACGTTTTAAATAATTTTTGCTTGAATAACAGAAATTGCAGAAATTTAGTATAGCAGAGTCTCGGGCAGCCCACCTAACAATTTCTTGTCAGTGTCATCAGAATAGGTGATCACACATCTAGAACAGTCACAAAAAAATTTAAAAAAATGTGAACAAAAGTCCAAATAACCAGCAGAGCCATATAGCATTTGGCTGTGGCTATATTAGTAGTAGAGGTGATCTCTAAATTTCAAAAGAAAGTAAACAGCTTTTCCTAAATGGGTAAGTTATGCAAGTTAATGATTTTTCAATAAATTCTTTGCTTTTCAACATCTTTATGATTTTACTTTTTGTTACAGATTTTTCTTTTACATGGCATTAAAAAAAGAAGTGTTCCAAATTGAGTTCATTAGAGCACTCACTTCAAATCCTCAAATCTGAGTGTATGCTGAGGGAAGCTTACTTGGTAAAAACTGGTTGAATGGTATCTACTAAACTAATTCTTAATTCAGTTAAATTTCTTCAACATGTCAACACCTGTACCCCATACCTCCTCATAACTGAAACCAGCAGTTGTATGTTGCTACTGCTCCTTCCTCCAAATAGCCACAGAAAAATATTTCTTAACACTACACATTTTTCACAGTCTTTAACTGTATTCAATTAAAAAAAATGCCTAAGTTCCTGTTAAATCATGTTGGTAAACTTAAAACGAGCATTTAATACCAGATAACTAAGCCAGTAAAAAACCCTATTACTATGACCTCTGAAAATACTTTAAACTGTACCATCTAGATTAGAATAGACAGATTAAAACCTAATCTGTCTGAACATGCCAGTTTATAATCAGATGGAGGAATAAAAAGACTATTGTGCATGGAGGCAAAAAGTTTAAAGGCTGCACTTACAAACATTTACATGAGAGGAACCACAGGCTTCTGGAAGTTCCAGACAGAGGGCAGAAACAGCTGCCTGTACAGTCCAAAAAGGATAGGTGTATATATCGGATAAATACAAAACCTCATTATTTTCTCTAGCACCTGAAGCAGATCTTATGCAAGTTCTCATGACTTCCACAGTACACACACACACACATATATATATGTATATATAATCAGTCCTGTTTGTCCTTAGGTATTTTCTCAAGCTCTGCTGTTCTGTGGCAAAATGCTAAAGAGAATTAGAAAATGCCAACCCCAATCTGTAGAAAATCCCAAACCTGGTCTTAGATTCCTGGTCTGGAGAACCAATTAAAAATTCAGTTAAAGACATGAATCCTAAAACTTCAAAGGACAGAATTTGTGTTCATTTACCCCAGGCCATACAAAAAAAAAAAAAAAAGGAAATTGCATATTGCACCACAAACCTCAGATAAAAGTACTGTGAGCTGGATTCTCCATAAAAATATTCTAGTTCTACTATAGAAACTGAAAAAATTATCTTTGTGTTAAAAAAAATCACAATTTAACTGTTTACGTTAAAGGAAATTATTCCAATAACTTGAAGGCTGAAGCAATTTCAAATCTCTGCAATGTGACTCTAGTTAGCAGCAGGAAAGACATATTACAGCAGCGTTATCCTCTGCTGAGCGATCTAGGAGAACAAGACCTCGAAATCTTTGTATCTAAAAGCTCGGGCCTTTACTTTCCAGTGTGAAGAGACCAGGTACTTTTACTTGAAAGCAGCAAACGAAACTCAAAAAATAGGCTGGCCACATGAACAGACAGGATGAAACTGTCTTAGTATGGATTACAGTGGTCTCAAGAGAACAAGTATTAAACATGAGTAAAAAGAGAACCTTTAGCACTGCCTATAAATGAACCAAGGAAAGATCATCCTCAGGAGTTAAGTAGAGCAAATAAGAAAAAGTGAAAAAACACTCTAAGAGTAAATGGAAGTAAACCAACCTCACTGACATTTAACATTTACGCAAATGTCAGATTCCCCACTACTTGGTTAAACATTCAGCTGGGATCTCAATCAATGTTTGGAGTGTGCATGACCAATTTTGAAAACAGAGAGAGAGCACAGCACAAAAATTAGAAATCTATAAGTGTTTCTAAAAAGATGAACAGTCAAAAAATGAGATCATGAAGACTGGGAATCAGGGCTCAGTTGTAGAATTATTAACGACTCATTTATGGCTAAACTCCATGCCTGAACTTCTATTCCTGCATGAAGTTTGCTGTAACAGAACTGAACATGACCTAAATACTCATGATTCATAGCTATATACTAGAAGAAAAGGCCTTGGCCAGGCAACAGAGATTAATCAATATTCTCAACTATTAAAACTACAAGAATTCCACAGAACTGCTTAAAGGTCTAGGAAAAAAAAAAAAATCACATTCACGGCTTAATACATTGAAAACAAGCTCCAAGAGCAGCTTTCCTAAAAATACAGAGGAAAAAGTATCCTGTAAATTAAAATGTCCTGTGATACATGTATTTCTCTTTTTTCACCATATGTAGCAGCCTTTTGGGAAACATGGCGTGCAATTTGCAAACGAACACCCATCATGACATTCATTGGCAAAGGACTCCATGCCCTTGGGGAAATCTCTCCGATTTCCCTGACAGGGTCTACTTTTTTTTAACCAGACCTCCCCCATTCCACTGACAAGGCCAACATTTTCTTATCCAGAAAGATATGCAGGATAGTCTGAACCCCGATTATCCTGTTCTGGTAGTTCCCAAGAAATACCAAGTATGATAAAATAGCATTTCTAGTGAGAGTTATGCAAAGTTCTTCCTGAACTTTTCTCAGTACGTTACAGAGGACTCACCGTAATTGCTTCTACTGATACAGCCCCCCCCATTCCTTTAGTCACACCCTGAAGTCAGTCACCCAGTGCCCTGTGCTTCATGTCAGCGTGGCTCTGTTAAGGTGGTGGGAGTGAAAGGATTGCTGTTTCAGATGATGTGCCCTCCTACAAATACTTCAGCGACTGCCAACAATGAAGTGGAAGCAGAAACAGCACATGCAACCACTGAACGGCAACAATTTCTGCTCTGAATTCTTTCCATTTTTTTCTTGACAATCTGAAAGCGAAATTCGTCCTTCACCATCCTCCCATGACATAAATGGACTCAACCATTAACCTCCAAAATGCAAATTCTAGTTCAGACTTTCTGACAGACACAGAAATGGAGATGCATCAGAGAGATGTATCTGACCTAGACCTCCACAATCTTACCTTCTTCTGAAGAACGTTAACTTTGCGTTCCTTCACCTCTAACATGTCCTTGAGGTCATGGATCTCTCCTGCCTGAGTCCCCTTCTCCTCTGCCATCTCCTGAATCTGCTTTGTCTTCTTATTTAGCATAGTCTCCTTCTCCTCCAGGCGCAATCGCAACGCATCCACCTAGATTGAGGCACACAGAAACAGGGTTTGTTTAGCACTGAAGGAGAGATATTTCAGAAAAGTTAAACTACACTTCCATAGGGGAAGCACTGTCCAATTACAAATAGATTCAGAAAACTACTATGCCTTAAGACTTAAACATACATACAAGCTTGAGATAAAACAGTTATCACAAGTGGTAGGAGACTAAACAGTAACAATAATAAAATGTTTTATTTCCAAATTATATAAGACCAATGCTCCATCTTGGAAAATCTCAAATCGTACCTCTGTCATAACTCAGTCTGGTGAGATACAAGTCTGGAACTTTTGTCCTCAAAGTAGAAGCCAACAACACAATGTGTTATTGAGAAGTTCTCTCATACGTAGGAAAACTGTCCCCTTTATTTGAAATGTTATTAAAGTTCAGAGCATAAAGCACTGACTCTTAGCACCGAACAGTCACTTCATACTCTAGGTTTTAATCAGAGTATTAGCCGAGCCTGGAGGTAATGAAAGCAGGTCTTTGCGGCCACTGCAGACCAAAATATGGGAAGAGGGTTACCTCAAGGTGGCTAAGAATAGTTTGGCTTAAATAGCAACATAATAGCTTAAACCTAAGATGCATTTTCAGCAAGATGCAGTTTTATATTAGAGATAAAATGGAACAAATGATACAGTTCAGGATATTGTGGGTGCTATTTGGACACATAAACATACTTAAGAGCGTCCATGGCCTCAACAAATTTAGAAACACACTCTGGGAATTCTGTGGTATCACTGAACTTCCAAACTGCATGTTGAGAAGCTTTTGCCTTTCCTTCTACATTTCTGTTAGACAAATGAAACAGAGCTCACAAGACAAAAGAAATGGGAGAAGGAATCAGGGCTATCTGAATATAAATTTGATGAGAAGAATAAGGTCACCACAGAGCACAGCCTAATCTCAAAGACCATTGTGGAATACGAAATCCAACACCACCAACCTGCTCAAGATACCAAAAGAAACCCACTGACCCCTATCCACTCGGCATTAAAAGCTCAAATCTGCCAGCTTGCCTGCTAATCTTATTTGACAGTCTTAGATTTGGTTCCTGTTAGCTGAATCCATTACAGGACATCAGTCACACAGAGTAAACAGGGTGATCAATGAATTTCTTGGACCTTCTGCACAGCATAGGCTAACAGAGACATGAAGTGAAAAGACAACTTGGACAACTCCAGCTAGGGAAAAATTAGGCAGTCCCTATGCTTATGGTATTTTGACCAACATTTAGCTTTAATATGTTATTCTAATTCCATTTTATTTCAATTTGCTAATGGAAAAGTTGCCTCTAAGGCTCTACATTTACAGTACGTTACGCCCACAAAATCCTTTGCTGTTTTGTCCAATTCCTTTTCCACGGAACAATAAGCACTTGCCAATGGGGAAAAGAACTGCCCTGCTCTCCCCATCAGCACAGCAATCCCGCTGCCACCTCTACGTCTGGAGCCTTCTCACTTACACGTATGTTATTAAAAATCACATTCCTGACCTCTCACCCAGCAAGTGGGGCACGGAGTATATTCTGCAGTGGTATTAGAGTACCAGGTACTACCCAAATATGACATAGGATTGCGAGTGTACTGAAAAGTTTAACAGGTGGATCAGACTTTGCCTTCTTTTAAAAACATGCAGTTTTATAGACCATTAGGTGTGTTCTTCTCCAGATAGCCCTAATATTAAAGCTAAGAGTTGCTTTCATACATTATTCTTGAGGAGAAGCTGAAAATCTCCCTCACAAGCAAATCCACATACTCTCAGCAGTTGTGTTGCAAAACATTTGAGACAGTCCAGATGCCTACAGCACAGTATTAAGTGAAAAGAGAACATCTGCAAACAGAAATTTATGCACAGAACGCCTTCCATTTTCTGATTGATTATTCTCTTTGAAGTCTATATTAGCTTATGGTTTGGGGTAAATTGCATTCCTGGTTTTATTTGTGTGAGGTCCCTGCCTAGGAAACCTTAGAAAACACTTTCAAGAATATTTTCAAAGGCTGGCAAGGCACACAATCATCACCTTAGCACTATTCCTGGCAGAACACTGCACTTGTTTATTCATGTCAGCTCAGTTTATGTATGGCATCCTCCCACAGTGACAAGAATTGAGGTCTGCGGCAGTCAGGTGATGCCAACTTCAACAAAGTCAGCTTAAGATTTTCTCTGCACATGGAAACGAGTAGCAAATAGCTACTGAGGTGCTGACGCCCCTTCTCCTGACTTCTACGTCTTGGACGGTGTTTTCTTAACCCTGGGTTAACCTAACTGCTTTCACAGTAATAGAGTGCCATGTCTTTAATTATGCAGGCCAAGTAAAATCTTACAGTACAGCTCAGGCAACTGCTAGCCCTTCATATACAATGGGCTTGCTAACTTCACCTGCATGTATCATCCAATTTCCCATGAAGCTTTTAGCAAAATAAGCCCATTTGTTGCCACCTTCACCACCATAGCCTTCCTGGATAAAGGTACAACAGGTACAACAGGTGCCTCTTTTCAGCCTGAGTACCATACATAAGGTTTAAATTTCTTCACTGTAAGAACTATATATGTAAAACCATTGGGAACCAATGAGTTGTCTTCCCAGATTTTTCAAGTAGCAGTAAATAATACTCTATGACTCTGTTCCTAATACAGTAAAGCTATATATTAAGCACGTAGAATTCCAATTTTCCACGAGGACCCAGGACATTAGCAGCTCCAATGGCTACCAGAATAAACACAGTAAATTACATAGTATTTAATTTAAATTTATTCTTAAGCCCTTTTTAAAATCTTGGAATCTGCAATTAGATTAAAGACTTAGCTTTGAGAATATTTCCAGTTTATAGCTTAGGGAAATCACAAACTTTCAGAAGCCCACTGTGAGTTCAGAACCGACTCAGGAGGTTGAGTCAATAGGACTCAGGTCGCGCATGGATTTTTTTCTCATTTTTACCATCGTCTCCACTGTATAGTAGCAGTCAGGGTATTATGACACTGGTGATTCCTGCTCGGGTTTAGGAAGTGATGCCTAGTAAAAACAGTGCTTTATTCTTTTGCTGACAGTGAGTGATTCTTCCTATCTACCTGCCACCTGTTCAAGCCATGGCTGAACTACTGATTTACATCAGTGACCCATGCCACACTCCAGTTGGTTATATCTGAAAGTACAGTGTCCCCTGTCTTATATCCAAGTCCTGATTGCCCTGTAAGAGCAAAATTCAAAACTTCTATTCTCTGTTGGTATGACTACATTAACGGCAGCAAAAGCAACAGACAGGGTATCAATCCTGAAATATGTATTTAGAGCTTGCTATGGTTCCTAACACGAGCCAGGTACTTTTACAAGTACTTTATTTTTAAAGTAATCTCAAAAATTACTTTTGAAGTAATTCTATGTCAGCACTCAGAATTCAAAGATAATTAAGAAATGCACAGAGGAAGACATGAAATTATATTTGGTATGTGAGGTGAAATTTTGCTTTTACCCTAGAGTAGACATTGCTATGTGAAGTCTCCCAGTACTGAAATGAGTATATTTCAGAAGGGATCTGTTTTTGATATTCTATTACTATCTTGCAAACATATCATATAAACACAATAAGAGTTAAACAGTTTTCCTAACAACATAGCTTGTAATTAAGACTTAAAAGCTGTGTTTACTGGCTGATTTTGAAGGCAGTGGTAGTTCACAAGACTTAATTCTCTATTTTTGACATTGATCTTCCTTATGTATTAGATTAGAGCTGACTCTTCACCTTCCTATACAAACTGCAGCAGTATCCAGTATGGTCTTGTAGAAGAATTGAGAATGAATTCTTTATGAACATAGAGGTCCCAGTTATCTGGACAACTTAGATTACATGGCTACGCCTTGGAGCAGAGGTGCACACACCTGCCTTTGGGCAGAGCCTGTTCAGTTCTTGCTAGGGTTAATAGATTCAATGCGGGACCGATGTACTGCTTCCAGGGCCTGCTCAGGTCAGAAATCAGTTGAACTGTTCTTCCGCAATCTCTAGCGTACGGTATTAAACACAGTATTAAAGAGAACCCAGTTCTGTGAGCTGAGGTTAATGCTGGCAGGTGTCAGCATCAGTTTTAACGTCACTGCTGTTAACAAGTCTTGCCAGAGACACCCAGCTCCCATTCGCACATTCCTCACCACACGTGATCCACTCCATCACTGTCTCTGATTTGGGAAAGTCTACTAGGGTTTCAAAATGCCAGTATAAGCCGCATTAAAGAAGGACCCTTAGAGAATTGTACGTTCTACTGAGACATTCGGTACAAATAAAATACCTCCAGAAGACTGGATTCATTCTTCTACTCAATCTTAACCTGAATTTACCATATGGAACAGACCATTTACAGACCGTGTCAGCTCGGGCAGTATACACGAATAAAGGGGCATGTTCTCACTGATTAATTTAACCTCCCATTGAAGCTACATACCTTCTGGCACTGACCTAGGCTAAAAGGATCATCAGGCAAAACACAAACTTTACATGGATGAAGTCTTAATACCAAAATAAATATTGATTTATTTTTTGTTTTGTTTACAAAGAGATTGTTCATTTTTAGAGCTGTTTTGAAAGGTTCCTTTACAAATTGAAAAGTTAACCACAATATCCTCTCCACCTAATAGCACTCAAGATAAACACCCCCCACACAGTTCACTGTTCATTGTAATTCCAGTGTGTCAGGTGGCAAATCCAATTTTGAAATATTATACCAACATCCTTGCCCCATCTACCTACAGTTTTCTTTAACAGAAGACTAAAAGGCAGATGCTTATGAAGGTGTGCTCTTTTCTCTCAAAACATTTATTTAAATATGACTTTAAAATACCAATCCTCTACGAAGATGTCTGCCAATACATGACAGAAAACGTACCCCTCTCCTTCCCCATAACTCCCTCGGAGTGTACAGAGAAGCCAGTTATTTTTTAATATTGACCAGTGCTGTCAATAAGTGAGGCCAGGCAGAATCTTGTGTTCCTACCCTTTTAGCCCCACAACCACTCCTTACTGAGTCAAAAAAATCATCTTGCACAGTCACTGCAGTTGCTATGTTTCACTTACGATACCTGGAAGCAAGCCATGTGAATAAACTAAAAGCAGCAAGGAGAAAATCTCTCTGGCTCCCCCCACTCCCCCCTCCACCTTTCAGTACCATTTTATTCGTAAAAAAGAGTTTACACGTTTCAGAGGAAGAATCAGATTGGTTTTATACTGTGATGCTCTAAGAGAATCTCATTTGGAAGAGGCCAGTGAAGAACAAATAGTCTCAATGATAATTTAGTTATATTAGAAGTTAGAGAACAGAATAATTTCCTATATTAAAAAAACTCCTTTGGCCTTAAGTTAAAATAACATCGAAATGTTCTAAATAACTATCAAGAGTATCTATTAATGGTATATAACAAAGTCTTTTTGTTTTTAATTACTCTGCTTAAATTGTTTATATTTTATATGAATAAATACGTTTACCTACCACCACAGCTGAAATTATGATTGTCTGCTGAAGTCTTTTGACTTGTTAATAAAGCTCATTCATTCAAGAACTTCACCTCTCATGGGCAGAAAAGCGCTGCCTTTTATTATTTAAAAGTAAGAAGGGAAATGTGTTTCTGTCTTCGTAGGTCTGTCACAATACTGCCCAGTGATTTAATACATTCATATTCTTTTCAATCACTGTAAGGGATCAAACCCTGTAATTTACATTTTGAAATGTTTATTTACCTAATACCTACCTTCCAATGATATTTTGAAACGTAAATATTTTTTAAAATAAACATGTAGGCATCTAGGGTACATTCCTGACTAGCAAAAAAGAATGAACAAATTTAGCAAGACATTTGTGAATGTAAACTAGCACACTTCCACAGCTATACCAACTAATGCAAACGAACCCTGTCTGAAGTGAATAGCCCAAAAGTATCACTTTAAAATAAAAGTAGAAATTCAAAATTAAGGTTTCTAGCTTGTAGAATTAAGTCACAACCGAAGTTGGTCATTTAACCCATTTTTTTTTCTATCAAATAAGAAACTAGGAAGGGAAGTTTTAAACTGCATTTAAAAATAAAAAGATGAGATTTCGAGTGCATACATTTCTTTTTTTGTTCCAGAGAAGCTTAAGAGCTCTCCATCTGCTAGCTCCTCCCTGTTCAGTCACCTCAAATTATTTACCCAGCTGAAGTTATCTGTTGATAAAATCAAGTTTAACACAGAGCTGTCATTCTCAGTTTGTACTTAAAGGTTAAAACTCCTTCCTTTATTTCAGACTTGGATACACCTGTGGGCCCTGTCTGCATTTTCTTCCATATCTCTGTCAGTTAAATCTAATAACTAAAGATATTCTCTCTCCCTGCAGGACTTGTGTCACTCACTCATTCACTGTCATGTCTAGAACACTACTGCTTTACGGGAAACTGATTCTGCAATTTCAAATTCTACCTAAATCTGAGAACAATCAGAAAAGGCATCTTAGGACATCAAAAGACATTGACTGTGTAACTTGACTTGTGCCTGAGGACAAGGCCATGTGCACCCATGGATTCACTGAACATGGCTTAAGGAAAGCTACACAAGGGTAAAAAGTTCCAACAAATTCTCTCACACTCTTGCAGTATGGAATCTTTCTGCCAGTGTTACCCACAAATTTTCTGCAGGCCTATTTCATAGCTCCTTTGGCTTTTTCCTGCTTTAGCCCCAACACCACAAATATTTCCTGATGCATGACCGCCACCTTTTGGACTTCTGCTAACACTACAATTTTGCAAGCCAGGGGATTGAAATGCTGTCTTCACACAACATTTCATGCTCGTTCTTCAAGAATGTCCAGAAGCAATAAATTTATACGATACTTATTATCCATTTGATGTTCAGATATATGCTTTTGTCTTACATAATATGGAAATTTATGAAGCATTTGTTATCGAAACACAGCTTTGAAAATATTTTTCCTTTCCTTGGAATATGCATCATAAAACATGAAAGCCCATATTTCAGGTGTAAGCACAGGCTTACATGCAAGAGCTCCTGTACGTGCTGACAGTAGCAGTGAAGCCTCAGCAAGTCGTGTACTGCTACTGAAACACTCTTCCTTTCTCTGCTCTCTTCTCAGCTACAAGGTCACTGAAAATAAATACCCCCAGCTCAGGCATTGAGACTTCCAATTTAGCTGCGTCTAAGAAAAGCAATATTAGTGTCTGACTGCATGTTAATGGAGCATGTTGTACAACTGTGTATTCATCCACAGGAATATGCGTGCACTTATACACACACAGTTGTCTTTATGATCAATCCCTGGTCTAAAGAATCAAACATACAACCAAAGACCCAACGTGCTCAGAACAAGCAGTATTGAACTGGGAATGTTTAACCTAGGCAAGAAGAAAAGAAACAATGCTTTTAAGCTCTATGAAAAGCCAGTAAGGACAGAATTGCTCATCGCACCTCTGTCTGCAGGATAGCAGCTCTTTGCTCTTTAGCTGTAAGAGACTCTTTCAGAACTTCAATATGTTGCTTGCTGTCAGAGAACTGATTTGTGAGGGTCTCCAGCTTTGTCTGCAAGGCCAGCAGCTCAGTGTCTTTGCGCGACAGCTCCTGTTTGACCTGACCAATCTGAAAAAGAAAGAAAAGATGGGCAAAAGAAAAACAATTTATACCATCCGCACAAAAATAATTATAAATTCACATAACTACCAGCAAACAGTATGATACCCTAAACTCATCCCACGGAACTGTGAAGCCTTCATCTATCTATCTTCATTCAGTGGAAGGCCAGCAAAAGTTTGTGTCATGAGCAAAAGATGTAAGGAAAACGAGGGGGGGAGCAATAGCGTGAATTTGTTCAAGAGAGGTTCTTTTTAACAGACAGTCTGTTCTTAGTCATCTTTCAAAGGACTGACCAAACCCAGCTACTCAGCAGGGATAAGCTTTTAATGAAGATGAAGCAGAAGTGCAATGAGAATGTACCCTTACCCACTAGTATCAGAAAAGGTGGGATACCTATAGGTCTCTCTCAGAAACATGATGTTTGCTGTGATGTGCCAAACCAGTGAGTTTCCATCCATCTCTCTGCCCATCAATCCAGCCTCACGCTTACAGAGAACATAAGGACACCTTTCCTTTTCCCACCATTTACAAAACCCACATTTCAACCTTCTAAGAAATACCTTCTTAATTTATGGAAGCTTTTTAAAGCAGATGCAAACACAAATCAAAACCACATGAGCACCATTTTTGGAACTGCACTTTGTTGAGAGAAATTTGCTTAATTTAATTTAGTTAATTAAACCAGTACAGAAATGCCAATTTATTTTAACAAATGTAGGTTGGATTATCATTTAAAAACAGTAAGAAATTTTAGAATTAAAATATTGAAATAAGATGAAAACTCATTCTAAGAGAGAACCAAGGACAATTTTGATGTAAATCTGCAGAAAAACAGTATTTTTTAATTAAAGAGGACAGGGAAGGTAGACTAATGTCCAAATTTATAACCTGCTTTCTGGTTTGCCTCCAACACATCTCACAGAATAAAATAGTAATGTTTTACTTTTACATGTTGTATAGCAGAGGTGAACATATATCGAAAAAATAGTTTTCCCTTTTTTAACTTGAACAAATTTGTTTGAGGCATTAAAAACCCAAAATCTCTCAATCCCTAAAGTATGTTGTTCAGGGCTTAAAAACAGAAATTAAAGGACATCACAAATAAAAAAAAACTGTCCAGGTCATCTTCCATTTTTGGAAATGCATCAAGAACAAAATTAAGTTGATATAAGTTTTGATGTATCTCAAAACATCTCACACTATTTTTTTAAAAAGGGATAATGGGAAGGAGTTTAAAAAGAATTCAGTTTATAGAACTATTGAATATTTCACTTAATTTAAACATATGAGATTATTTTTTCATATTTTTACTGAAAGCAAGTACGTCCATAGAATGATTTCACCACCACCTTAAGTTATACAGAGAAGCACTGACATTAGCAGCACTCCTGCTATCACTGACAGGCCCATACAACCACTTGCTCAGTACTGCTAGGCACAGCCAAATAGCAGGGGAGAGATGAACTATTTACTGCTCATTACGTTTTCTGGGGTATATAAACAAAAAAGCATCCTTAAAAATTTCAGATGACACAAACTTTTTAATCCAGTTGATACCCTGAATTATAGTAAAACTTTCTCAAACCATTTTCATCTTTCTTTGAAAAGATAAACTCCTTTTGGAGTAATCTCAGAAGAGATGTGCACCCCAAATACTCATGTTTGGGTGAAATCCTCTCATCTAAACACAACCACGTTTCATTACATTAACATTCCCAAGTAGCACCCTAAGATCATTCTCTCCCGAAACCCCCATTTCAGAGCTGTAAGCCCACACTGTCGATGTGCTAAAGCTCTTCAGGAAGAATGCAGTGCATACCATTCCAAGTTGCAAGGGAAAATAAAGCAGCATTAAGTGCTCACATCTCTTCTCAGTAAGACACTATGACCACTCAGAGCAAAGGAATAACCTAAATTCATGCTGCTAAAATTAAACTATCAGTTTTAAAAAGCATTCAGCATCCAGCTTTTGTTATTTTTTGTGAAACGATGTTAAGAGAGTTCAACAAGTGTTTTCAAACTATGTTTGTTCTACTCAGAAAAGCAAATCTCTGAAAAGTCTGGCCCCAAACTGGGTGCTGAATACTTCTGAAAATCAGCTTCCACAGGGAAGAGTAAGTTACTGCTAAAACAGCCCATACCATTAAAAACCCAGTAACAAAACAGGCACAGATGTTCAGTTGAAGAGTGATGTTATGGACAGCAAAACCACGTAAAAGGTAGATACAAGGCTGAGCAGGCTGTTAGTTCTACTGTTATATCAAGTCGTAAAGAAGTTAGGAGAAGAAAAGTTACCCCAAAAGCCAGAGAGCTAGCAAGCCCTAGTGAACGGCCACTGCACACAAAAGATAAATCTTACTGCAGAGACCTCAGCCTGGAGACCAGCCACTCTTTTTTTCAGGTCCTCCCCTTGAGCCTCTTTGGCACTTAGCTCTTCCTTCAGTTGCTCTACCTGTCACGACATTATTATGCTTATAAATACTCATTATTTGTCAGCTTCTAGTTAGCCTGCGTGAATCCAAGTAACTAAAAGTGACAAAGAACTGGACAGCAGGGTCAACACTGGGCACTCATTTGCTCTTCCATTCTTCGTTAAGTCTTCTCAAAAGTTTAGTGCCTCTGCAATTTCATACAGGCTGCCAGACAAGAATCCAATTATGAAACAAAGATGTACAGTTATGGTTATGTTCATAGATGTCAAGTATGGGGCACCCAACCGTTTTGAAACCGGAATTCATGAGGAAGTGAGGACAGGAAAAGGGACATTTTTCAGCTTAAGAGAAGTAAAGTTGTCAAGATATAGTCACAGATGACTATACAATAGAATACTGAAAAAAAATAATGTGCAATTACAAAACAAGGTAGGACAGCAAGATCCAGATTGGAGCTGGCCATGAGTCATGAGTGAATAGCTATCAAAAAGGAGCACAGTTTCTGCAGGAAAATAAATGAGCAGACACAGTAGATGGAAGAGATACAGAAACTGAGTAGCTGAACACATCTATAAGCACACGGAGGGGAGAAGGGGAAAGTGAAGAGTTGCTAACAAGGGAAGAAGGAAAGAAGTAAGAAAGAAGAAAGGATGGAAGGAGGAGGTGCTAAAATCATCTCTCCATTCCAAATTTGAAGGGGGTATCCTTCAATTCCTAGAAGCAACTCAGTGGGATAAAGGGCAGAAATATAAAAGAACATATACGATTATCTCATGGTAAATCAGTGAGCTGGCATGAGGGAAGTGGAAGAAACAAGCACTTATTACATGTTTCTACGTTTGGGCAAGTAACACTTCTCCAAGAAACTGTCTCCAGCATTCATTTTCCAACAAATAATTTCAAGCAGCACAAATGCAGTCGGTTACAATTGTTCAGGACCTAGTTAAGTAATTTTCAACCTCTGTTCCAGGGATCTGTACACTCATTGCAGGGAGTACACAAAAGCTAAGTGAGAAAAGCAGTACTGCTCACAGTCTATTCAAATTTACTGGACAAGGTGGCCTGAATCTTCATTAGAAAATGTCAGGGGCCACCAAAAGACTGAAAAACACTACTTCGGGAGAAACAAAGAATGAACTGACTTTCGGCTATAGACAATTCGGTAGTCAGTGTCGACCTTTCTACCTGAGGATCAACATGTCTCACTGCTGTATTTGTCCTCTATTCCCAACAGCATAAATTAATGTTGTCACAACCGCTGTTTTAGAACCTATTCTCGTTCTGACTCCACTACTGGAAGGAGAGTGTAATGGAAAGTCATGATAGTGACAGTTCATGAACCACCACCATTATAACAATTTAAAATTCTCTTAAATATTTTTAAGTTATCATAGCAGCTTCATGGCAGAGTACAAATAAATTCTGTTTCCCAGCACCTGAATGGGAACCCAGACCGTCACTCCTTACTGAAGTATGAAAATTATTCTCATCTGTTTGCTAAGCTCAGTTTATCTTACTACTGTCATTTGTTTTCTCAATACCTTATTTTTCATGAATTTGGAATGACTACGGTACACCTCCATTTGTTTCATTTCCTCTTCACGTTCCTCTGTGCTCAGAGCTCCATTTGACTTCAACATCTGAATCTCCTCTTCCAAATCCCGGAGGCCACGCTCCATGGAAGAAATTTTTGAATCCTGAAAATGATTCACAGAGACAGATGAAGATATACAGTCAGATGATTTGTTAATATACCATTGGAGTTAAAAAAAGAAAAGAAATAACTTGTTGGACATGTACCTGCCCTTGAAATTTACTCCTTAAGTTCCTACAGAAATCAGTCTACACCTCTTTACACAACATCTGGCTGAGCGCTCAAGTACTCATTTTTCAATTTTTTATACCTTTCAAGGAAACCAAGAGTTCAGTGCTGAAAGAGAACATGGCTAGGGGCAGGGACACAGTATATGTGTATATATGAATAAATAAAGGAACATGAAAAAAAGTTGCCTTGTAATGTGAAGCTGGCCTAAACCAGAGAAATTTCATTCTAATTGAATAAACAGCAAAATGTGAGTGCAAGAGTGGCAAAAAAATGGGTTTGTGCTACTAGTAATTTAAATGGAGTCACAAATGGAGAACATAAAAAGCATCATAAACAAGAAACGGATGCAAAAATTGAGTTTTGAGTAGATAATCTAGTTTTGACTAGATAAAGCAATAGAGGATTGTTCAAGTACTCCGGCTCATATATACAACATATAAAACATTTCCATGGTTAAAAATATATATCTGGAAAAATTAAAAAATTAATCTACCATCATTATAGTTTTACAGGATGATTAGAGGTTTTCAATCTACTTGGTTTACTGTTTCTTTAGAAATCTTATCTGTCAGGAACAGCAAGATCAGATTCATAAATCACACAGAGCTTCATGCATACTCATGAACACTGATATGCATTTATAAATTGTAATCTCTTAAAGCACTCTATTTTTTCTTATTCAACTTCTCCAAAGCACTGCACCTTTCCCAAAATACAGGTAGGATTTGAAACTACCTTCCATTCTTTCACAGACCAATCCTTTTTATTTTTTATCAGACCAATCCCGATAATCAAAAGCATAGCTGAAAAAAAGCAAGAAGGATTTTCAAATAAAGGTGTTTATTCATGAGAGAAGATTTTTCTAGAGGGCCATTATGAAGGTCTAGTTGGATCTCCTGCTTAATTTTTGATGCTGAGGTTAAAATCGGTAAGGCTGACTTTTGCAACAAAAAATTAAGAGAGGTATTTAGGTGAAGTGATACGTTGTAATTTATAACACTATTTAGTTTCTGCGCTCACATCATTTCCCAGAAATGCCAGTGTTTCTCTTTTGATAGTAATGATGGCTTATTGTTACCAGATGGTCAATTAGTTTTCATTACTACGGACCACAAAGATGACTAATAAAAGAAACACAGTAATTAAAGGCTCCAGAGTAGAAAGATGGGAAATTACCACTGAAAGCATTGAGATGGAATGGAAAGAGTTGGAAGGGTAAAAAATAAGGAAAATAAAAGGGACAGATAAAGGAGGAGGGAAAAAAGGAGGACAAGAAAATGGAAGAGAATAGTGTGCAAAGAGAGTTTCCAATTTTTTAACCGTATTTGTCCAAACCCTGTCTGGAGTACTTCATGGACTGTACCGTATGAAATATTATTGCATAAAGCTGTATAAACCACACAGTCCACTTGTGGCTCCTGAGCTCTTGGCAAATTGCCATTGTTCCATTAGATACTTGAGTTAATGGTTTAAGAATTCAATCACAACTTCATCTAGAAAAGTTACATTAACGATGACATACAGACATCTTTCTATATGACCCATTCTTTAAGTGGGTTCTGAGTTTGCAAATTGCTCACTTTGTTGACACACAGAACACAAAGCAGTATTTCAAATATTTATAATATAAAAAGAAAATAACCCATATCATTATAAAAACCTACTAATCCATCATTCCCATCCTTGTGATACAATGGACTCTTGGTTAACTCAAAGAAATCTGCATATGCTGCTGCTGGCAGACAGAGGCAGGTTTCTATTGTGTCATGAAGCAGCTCCATCTATTCACTGATGAATAATAAAATATAAAGCAACAATAAATTATAAAAACAGTACAAAAGAAATATTTTTATTTGAAATTAGAAGACTGACAGAAGTGTATGGTATTTGGTAGAGTCACCTTTCATATGAAAACCCATTTTCCAGAGAACAAACTCTACTGCTGCTTATATGCAATTGTTTACCTTCATCTCAATAACAGTTTGCAGAGCCTTTGTCTTGGCTGTGTCAGGAGCATTTTCAAATCGACGATGGATCTCCTATACCAGCAGAAAAGAAAGCAAGAGTTAGCCTAATGGCATTTCCTCCCACTTACCAGATACAAACAAAATCACTAGAGGTTTCTCTTTCTAAACCGGAGCATAATTCAATGCTGCTTTCTGCTGTTACCAGTTCATACACTGTTTTATCATTTCTCATATTAAAGAAAGGATAGGCAAAATTGATTCAACAAAATCACAGCCTCAATTAAAAAGACACAACAGAAACTGCATCTTTGACTACCTACTTACTCAAACTGTTGAGATGACAGCGGAGCCAACTAAAAACTCCTACCGTCTGCCTGCTAAACTGACCTGAGCTATTACTAGTTTCTCTTGGAAGACATAGCCATAATTTATGTGACTAGGCATCTTTGTACTTACTCAAAATAAACTGTTGAGATGACAGCGGAGCCAACTAAAAACTCCTACCGTCTGCCTGCTAAACTGACCTGAGCTATTACTAGTTTCTCTTGGAAGACATAGCCATAATTTATGTGACTAGATGCTCACTGAAAACGATAAGCCTGTGCTTTCTGTTTCAACAAGCTATAGGGTGTAGCTGTGTTGCTAACTCTTTTTCCAACTTCTTTACCCCAGAGTAGCAATGTCTAATTATACATAATGAAAATCTTTCTCCACTGGGTCTCAGATGTAGTCGAAAGTACATGACTGGATAGCTCATTGCTCTAGAAGCTCAGAGTACACAGACAGGAGCACAGAAAAGTCCACGTGATATTTCTGTTGATGTGAATTCACACAACTCAGAAGTCAGAGAATGCTTCAGAAGTCAGAGAATTCACAGAAGTCAGAGAATTCACAGAAGTCAGAATGCTTCAGACTGCTCACTAAGGAATAAAGTGATAAAAAGCTGAAAACAACTTGTTCTACTACGTAAAGTAGTTAGGGGTTTCAAACCAACAAATGGGAACACAGGAGAAAATCTATTATCTATTCCACCTTATTCGTCTTAAAATAATATTGTCCTTACACCACACACACTAATGTTAAATGTAGGAATGTGAATATTGTTGGAATGTTAATATTATATGACATAAAAATACTTTGGTGTCCATAGAATACGCACTGTAACGCCGGTTAACCTAACAACAAATTGTATGGGTGCGCACACACGCTGTTTAAGCACACTCTCCCCTAAATACCTAAAAGCCCAATTAAAAAAGCCATCCACAAATTTGGATTGTCATTAGACATGGTCAAGAGATAACATTTTATATGGTAGTCATATATGCAACTTGCTCCATATCATTAATTATTTGAATGAGACAGGTAGAGTTGTATAGTGCTTTTCAAAATACTGAAAAGATTGTTAAGTGTTCTTACATAGCTGTGAGGCGAGTAAGATAAAAATGTTTAGTGATATAACAAGGTCCACAAGAAGAATTTTGCATAAATCTGGTACAAGGACACTGGTGTAAATTGATGTCTGTGAAGGGTAATAACAAGAAAACCCAGTAGGAAGTTTGTCTTTAAATACTATACCTGTGTTATTTCCTGAGAAGCTATTTTTACAAGTCTGTTTGCAGTGTAGGGTGGTATTTTCTGAAATAAAAAATACCTCCTGAAAAAATAAACCAGAAAATCCCTCTAAATATATTTGTTCTCCCATAGTCAACAAAAAACCTGAGAGCCTCTGGTCATTTATCACTGAGACCATATAGACCGGAGTGGAGCAATACCATTATTATTATTATTCTACCTACCTGTACTTGCATTCACATAATGAATTTACTCAAACCTAAACAGCCTACCAAGACTTTTCTTTCAGCCCAAGATCTCCTGTATCTGCTGGCAGTGTACATGTCTGAAGAAAGGGCAGCGTGCATCCTCTCTGCTACTCTTCCCAATGGATGGCCAAAGCGTAGCATAATCAGTAATTTCTCACCACCTGCCTCCCACACTGATGGTCTCCAGCAATACTGCACTTGTCCATCTGCCTACATGGTTAGGGGCATGATTCATTTTGTCAACAGTCAAACAGACCTTGCTTCTACCTATAAAACAGGTTTTAAATGAGGCAGCCACTTCCATCTGGAATATGCTGATGTTAACTCTAAGGAGTGGAACATACTACACCAAGCTGCTCTTTCCAGGGGTTGATCACAGGGCCATCTAAAAACTGCAAGCACTATCTCTGGGATCATCTCCTTAGCAGAGTTGCAAGATCTTTCAAAGCAGAGACCAGTGAACCCAACCAACTGAACCTCCTTCTACGGTTTCCTGTGCTCACCGTCAGAAGAAAAAAGCAGCTGTTGGCACACAGGATATCCCAAGTACAAGCTGGACCAACATCCTCATGTCACTTTTATTACCTACTCCGTCCTCAGCATTTTTCTTGAGACACAACAATGCAACTTCTTTTCAAGTCTGGCTGCACTACTTACTACTGCAGTTGCCACTCCTTCAGAGGTCTTATTTTAGAGATTCATTTGGTTATGTTGCTATACATAAGGTTAGAAAAGCAGCTCATCATGAGGGTGAATTTGCTTTAAAAATGTCATGTCAGCTACGCACAGGACAGTCTGCCAGATACATCCGCCAGAAGAGACTCAGAGTTTATCCCACTACCCTCAATCAAGGGTCAGAGACAACAATCACACTGCTAGGTATTATCTTAATAAAAATAAGCTAGGGTGAGCTGCTAACACTCAAGACCAGCCTGAGCATTCAGAAATACAATGGGGAGCAGATCTAATACGCTCCACCTGTTTCACAGCACTCCTACCAGCACCTGTCATGAAAAACATGACTCTACTTCAATGTCCTTGGTCTTCCTCCACCGGGAATGAATGATCTCAGCTGCCTTCCTTAAGGTAGCTATGGTATATTTTTCCTTGTTTCCACCTCAGCCAGCTCTAACGTGTTCATTCAAGAATTTCACCGTAATTCCAAGATGCTATCACTGTCAGTCCTTCCTATGAGCTCTGGATAGCGACTTTGTCCTGCCACTGGCACAATGTTGTTTCAATATCTCAGCATGCATGACTCAGGGGCTGGACTGGAGCCTTCAGAAATTTTCAAAGGATATTTTTGTATGACTCAAGTGACAGGAGTGGCTTCCTCCTGACAAATCTGCATATCTGAAGTTTGCAGAGTGGACACTGGGGAGTCCGTTCATGTATTTACCAAGCAGCGTATTGTTGGATAGGCATTTGGATACTTCACCGCTCTGGAAGGGCAGGCCTGAATCTATTTGGCTGAAATGAACAGCGCTGCTTGTGCAAGTACACCAACATCTGAATAAGTAAGAAGTATGAGTTCTGACTATCCCTCTGGAGAATCTCATACATGCCTTCACAACCTCCAGCCCCTTCTCAGAATTCTCAGGTCTTCTCCAGTGACTCCCAGGCTGAGAGGAACTGAGAGCTTAAGACACACACCGTTCTTTTTGCAAATTCACGTGCAGCACATTGAGTGAGGTGGTATTTGAGAACGCTCATTGTAGCACACATCCCCTATGGCTGTAGTACCAAGTTATTCTGTAATCACTGCGTGGCTAGGAGAGCACCTACTAAGAGTATGCATAGAAACAACAGAACACCAAGAATGTCATTTAATTCCTTTGAGAGGAAACCAGTGAAACAGTCCACAGTCAAAGACACCCCAGCCATATCTTGGCAGCACGCTCTAATTCACCTCCACTTAAAAAAACCTTACATGGGATGGGAAGAAAAAGAGTGTTTGAATCCCCCAAATTTAAGGATTTTAAAAAAAGTTCCTTTTCCTAACTTTAAAACTCGTGTATGGGAAAAAGGGAATAATTCTGAAGACGATTTATTAAGCTTGAGAAGATGAAGAAAGATCTAAGTGAAAGTATCCTATTCCGAATTCCATGAGCTTTCGCTAAATACAGAAAGTTGTATCTGCAGTTGTTCCTGCCACATCAGTTGGACAACCATTCAGGGACTGTTAGTGTAGCGTACAATGAAACAGTTTGATAATAGAGAAGAAATTAAGACTAATTCTAGTGCACTTTTAGAAACTGAGAAAACAAAAGAAGGTCAAAATACAATATGCCAAAACTCTATTTTGAACAACGTATTATTTTTTTTTAGTAGTGCAATCACATTCTAGATAATTTCCACCTGTGCAGAGACATAAAACATAAAAGCAGCCACTAATATGGGAATGAAATAGATGGAATACAGAGTAGGAGAAGAGCAAATCACTAAAGGGATGCTGACACAACATTGTCTGCTTTTGACATTGCACAGCATTATCCCAAATAGAAAATTCTTTCAAGCTTTTTCTTTAGAAACCCCTTTACCCCCACTATCTCAAGTCATGCTTTGCACTTTGGCAAAGGAAATTTCCTACTTGTATCATTTTAAGTAATTCCAGTGTGATTAGGATGACAAAACCTGCTGAAAAACACCTCCCACCTCTTGAGTGCATAGTAAGGACTTAATTTTGGCAACATGCCTATGATTCTAAAGAGCCTGAAACTCAGGCTAAAGGAAAGAGATGCATAGATATCCTTCTTAATTGTGAAATATTGGCTACGTACTTACCTTTCAGTGGCAGAACGGAGAAATACTAATATATCGTATTAGTATTTACCATTATTTAGGCATCTGATGTATTCAGACTCTATTGTCGACACACACCACACAGATGAATGAAAATTGATATTTTCATTGTCAAAACAGGACTTTGCACAAGAATTAAAATCATAGGATCACACGCAGATATCAGGATCAGAAAAATACAGAACTAAAACTTTGTTCCTTCTAAGTTATCCATTCTGATAAGGTAATAAAGCATTATTCCTTCGTTCTACTTTCACACATAACTGATATTCTTCCGTAACCGATTAGTAAACTTCAGCATCTTCTTACCCTATTATAACAAGGGGTGGCTTTTATATATGCGCTTTATGATTTTAATGGTTTTGTATGCTCGATGATTCCTTTATTTTTTAAAAAGGGGAAAAAGGTGCTTCTTGTTCCTAAGTTTTATGCAACATGCATGCTTTTCAC